TATATATATATATATATATATATATATATATATATATATATATATATATATATATATATATATATATATATATATATATATATATCTAGGCCTATATAGGCCTACACCATGTACGAAGTAAATAAATACTTACAAACGTAGTGTTGTGAACTTATTAATAGCTATATTATTAAAAAATTATTGATTATAAATTAACTTACATTGATATGTATTAAGAAACTAAGAAACTGTTTAGATAATCACTTTTGTTTTAGTCAGTAAACTGAGTGGCGAGGCGTGTAAAGATATAGTTTGAAAATTGGTTTGTTTGTGTGGTCTTTCATAATACATTCTCCGCAATAGTACTATGGAGTTGTCTTTTCTGATACACTTGCTGCATGCTATAGTCCCAATTTGCCTCTGATCGATCTGCTTGTTAGCAACAAGCTCCGTATAGTATATAGGCTATATGCTTTTCTCGATCCAATTAAATGGATCCAACCCGCCGTAATTTAGGCAATTATGCTGCAAGTGATTAGGCCTACGTGCAGAAAAACACGTCAATAGCTGCCAAATAATTCAGTAATTTTTCGGTCCTTGATTCCACTATATGTTGTTTTCTTACGTCATTCAAAAGCGTCTTTGCTTTTCTATTCACACAAAAGCATTCTTATAACAGTTTAATTAAAACTGGTGCCAAAACAAAATGTTCAAAGGCAGCAAAATAAAGGGAGCTGGAGTAGTTCAAAGTGGGTGAGGGAGCTAAGCTCACCCAACAACAAAAGATTAGAGCAAAATATTATAGGAGCATGCAAAATTACAACCATTTGGCATGGTCAGTGGAATATTCCTGAAGTGAATTTAAACTGGGGGGGGGGGGCTTAAGCACCCAATAATAATTTTCACAGGGCTAAGACCTGGTGGTTTAATTATGCTAATGTAGAGCCCACTGTATGCACGTATTCCAAGTGGAAGTATGGACCCAGACCCCTAGTTTGCGGCACCCCTAACTATATACGCGGTCGTATTTGCGCTTAGCTGAAAACTATATTTAATACGGTATACCTGCTAACTTAGCTGAAAATTTAGCCTCTTCCCCATAGCAAAACCTCGGTTCTGCCGCCGCTAAAATGTTGTCAATGGTTTTTGTTATATTCAAATAATAATGTAGATCGAATTCATGTATATACGTTCATTAAAAACGAAAATAATTCTGTTTGTCTTACATATAGCCTACGTATATATGCGGTTCGTCATAATGTGTTTTGGTTTAAGCGGCATACCTTTAAATATATACATATATATCGCGATTCCGACTGAATATTTGATATAAACAAGCGAATTAATATATATTGCAGCTATAGTTAGTCTTGCTCTTTCCAATTCGTAATATATAATGGGCTTCCATGACATTCAATTTTAAGTTTTTTAATTTAAAACCAAAAGATTATATGATGTATTATTATGATTAAAATCTAAAACTTTGCCGTGGGCATTTTTGAATTTCGACCAATAGAACGGAAAATATCCATGTTTGAAATTTTTCCAAATTTTTCCCTATGTCGCATATACAAATTTGTGACTCATGCAATATTGATTTGACTGCAAAATTGCTATATTTTCTCTGCTTTACGTTTTTGTTGCAAAACTCTTTTTCGCTCGTGTTGAAAATCGTTTTGGCCAATGTATTATTTCATAACCTAGAAGATAATGAGTTTAGAGAGTCTGATTTTCTGGTAAATCGGTCGGACAATATTTTTGTATTGATTTCCCGTATGATTGCGAGCGTGCTACTGTATTTTTTTTTAATCAGGCGCTACAAGCGCGTTGTCGTTTAGGTTTTGAAATAAAACATTGACCTAAACAATTTGCAACAAGAATAAAAAAGAGTTTTCCAACAAAAATTTAAAAGCAGAGAAAATATAGCAATTTTTAGTTTTATTGCAGTCAAATTCGATTACTCAAATTTGTATACGCGACATAGCGAAAAATTTTAAACGTGAATATTTTCCGTTCTAGGTCGAAATTTAAAATGCCCACGGCAAAGTTTTAGATTTTAATGTGCTATATCATAATATTTTGGTTTTAAATTTAAAAAGTTAAAATTGAATGTCACGGAAGCCCGAAAAGACGACAATATTTTCTAGTTCGCCTTGGTGTAAATTTCTCGTTTCCTGCATGCAGTTTAGCTGAGAACGAAAATGTAAACAAGTGCGCTGATTGGTCGAGCATGAAATCTGCCCTTGTTACCTCATATAAGTAAGTGTTTGATATGTTAATAAAGTCTAAAATGTAAACAAAACTATATATTGTACAATTATTAAAACAATCAGCATTTTTAATCAAACGACATCGATGTAGTGGCATTAACATGTTCTTTCAAACGTAGTATCTGTAACTTTAATTTTTCCTTTTCAAGAAGATTAATTTCCGCTTGCAGGTTTAATATCTCCAGCTGCTTTTGTAGAAGATCTTGCCGAGTAACTTTTTCTTTTTCGTCATTGGGCTTGTTGTTCGCGCTTGGTAGGGTTGTCGGTAAAACTTGTTGCTTTGTATTTGGGTAAGTTATCTTCTCGGTATGAACAGAAGCAGCTGAAAACCAAATTCGAAATTAAATTTAAATTATGCAAGTTAAGTTGCTCAACAATGGCAAAATAATTGTACTGCAACTCAGCTATTGAGAAAGGCCAGTTTAACTAAGAATCATTCCTGACTTGGCCAGGTTTGTGGTTTAAACCATATGCGTCCTCAAGGATGATTTTCAGTTGTATATATAAATTAGCTGATAGCAAGAAGCAGCTCTCGCGTAGAAAATAACTATCTAACATGCTACAATAATAGTAGCCTGAAATGACCATTGATTCGTGAAGTGGATATCTTTATATCACCTGGCATGCATGCTATAGTTCCTTTTTTCTGGAAATGATTATATAATACAAAGGTTGTTGAGAGGGGGGATGGTGAAATTTCAATTTCCGCTATAAGAATATTTCCAATAAAATGTTTAAAACATGTAGTAGAATGGTTCCAATGAGAGCGATGTAAGTCTTTATATAGTTGGAAACGTCTTTGAACTGAATGTTAAAATATTAATATGTAATTACTAGTTTAAAATAGGAACAATTGTATAATTCAGTTTTTACTGCAAAACAATTGATTAATAAACCGATAATAAATGGGAAAAGCGCGCGGTCAAATAGCGAAGAAAAATTTCATGTTGAGATTTTGACAATTTCTGCTCAATTTATTGGAGAATCATTTGAATATTTTGCTTTTTGGCTAGATGTGCTTGTTATTTATACAAAGCGATTTAGGTAGCTATGGAACCGATTAAATAATTGAAACATCTATTTAGCCGGTTTATCTGATTATCGCTAAATTTATTCTATTGGTATCGAAACGATGCCTGCATACGCTTTGGCGAGCGCTTTACGAGGCATTTTCAACAAAGACCTATACATATGCATTCGTTTAAAGTGCCTATGACATAAAATTTTGGTGTATGACTTTTTTCACTTTCTTTTACTTTTTGATGCGCTGATTATTGTGGTAATATTTATTTTTTAATCATAATGCGAGAAAATGCTTTTTTGGGGTACAAACATTAGACTTTTTAACAAACATTTTCCAGGAGACTGGAACAAAGCGTGACGTCACACGTTAAGGGTCAACACCAATCTCGTACCCAGAGCCATCGTTGAGTGGCTCTGGCCACACGGGATTGAAAAGCGATCCTGATTGGTCGATCCATAAGCTATTGAACCCATACCCCCTGTGGCGTTCACGAGCGCGGCCAGTATGAGTGAATACGATATATTTTGCTTTATTTGGCCTGAAAAGTTGCTTATTTTGACGAATTTTTTGTTGCTTTTCGTCCGAAAAAGTGGT